ACCAGTGGTAGCAGTTGACATCTGAGTCAGATGACCGCCTGTATTACTTGGGATAAATGCAGGGGGTACCTATTGAGTTAATAGCCAACAAAAATTGGCGAATCAAGGGGTCTAGCCGGCCTACGCCGCCTGGTACCTCTACTTCTCAAACAAAAGTGACGGCGACTGAGTAACTCCAACGTTAACTCATAGTCACTCCCTCAAATTTGGTATGGAACCTAAAAGGTTTGAGTCGTCCGCCTGTTTTTAACAAACAGGGGCACTCAAACCCCTATTCCTACTAGGTAACCTATTGAGTTAATAGCCAACAAACATTGGCAAATCAAGGGGATCAGCCGGCCTCCGCCGCCTGGTACCTCTACTACTCAATCTAGATTGTGACGAAGACTAAGTAACTCCTATGTTAACTTAATAGTCACTCAAACTTAGTATGGAGCCTAAAAGGTATGAGTCGTCCGCCTGTTTTTAACAAACAGGGGCTCTCAACCACTACTCTTGCTAGGTTAACAAATTATGAGTTAAAAGCCAACAACATTGGCAATAAAGGGAAACAACCGGTACCCGCCGCTTGTTATATTTACTACTCAATTCCTTGGCGACTAGGTAATACTCTATTTACTTGGTCAGACCACTTTCCTACTTGGTTAAAATTACAAAAAGACAGGCACGCCTGCCTAAAAAGGATCCAGACAAAATAGTTCGAATACCGATTGAATAAATGGCCGACTGATCGTCTATCCTGGAAACAGACAACCAGTCGTCCAGGGGCATAGGCGGCGTACTAACTATCCGTACCTGTTTGCAACGTTCGGCCATGTACAACAGTCGGTCTAGTAAACAATTGGATATTAGATATGGAATACTTGGACAAATTTGAAGCAAACAAAAATTCATTAAAAATAAGCCGGTCATTAAAGACCAGCAAAATATTCAAAGCCCCGGCCCCCTGGCCGGGTAAATACAAAGCAAACGGCACGCAGGCCGTGGAAAGAATACATTAAGCTTAAGAAGGGGGCAATTCAGTATTAGCAGCTGCCGCCTGGTCAGCACTCTTCTTGCTGGACTCGGCTTCAGCTGCATCCTTTTTTGATGCCTTGCCCCCAAGTGGCACAAGCGCCACAACCGGCTCCTCCTCCTCCTCCAACGCTTCTCCCAACGCCTCTTCTTCAGCAGCCGCCAGGATCTCTTGATTATATGTTTCCGAACACTGGCGGTACGTTCTTTCCCAAGAAGCAAAGTCGGCACTGGGGAAGAGGCGGCCCCAGGTCATGCGCTGGATTTGAGCGGAGTCTTCCATCATCTCCCGGACGAGCTCTTTCTTCTCTTGCTCGGCCTTTTCCGAGAGCTCTTGGGTAAGACTCTTCTCTTGGCTCACCAGGCGTTCTTTTACGCTGGCCAAGGATTTCTCCATGGCTTCGTAAGAGTACATTTTTAGGCGAAGAGGTTTCAGCTCGGCCTTAAGATTTGTGATGGTCGCCTCCAGCTCGTCATTCTTCTTCTGGGCCGCCTCTAACTGAGCCCGAACAGCGGCGGTAGCCTGCGCCTGATAATAAAGAATATCAATGGTCAGTACTTCATTTTGGGCAATTTGAAACATTGCCTTATCACAGTCAGAGGCGGCCATAGCTTTTGCAGCCTTTACCTCTTTGTTCTTCCGATCAAGCGGCTTGCGAAGGCCGTTAACTCGGAGCAGGGCCTAAGTACAAAAAAAAAAAAAAAAAAAAAAACAGGCGTCAGTTTCCAAACAAAAAAGAAAACAGGCGTCCAGAAATTTAAATACTCAAAAATATGCTAAGTATACCTCAACAAGGACCCCTACAATCCCGTCAAGGTCAAGGGTGCCGACACCCCTGACCGCCTCCCTTTCAGCTGGAGGAACTGCCCTGATCATAGACTTGGCCATGTCTACCAAGTCAGGCTCCTGGGGGCCGGCTGCATCAAGCATAAACAAACGGATTAGACTTAGTAACAAAGGGAGAAAGTCTAAAATTTACAAGGACAACTTCATACCTCTAGGCGGTCCAGTTGGAGCTTTAGAAGAAGTGGCCGGCTGTTTCTCAGCCGCCACCTGTTTCCTGGCAGAACCAGGAGAGCTCCCAACAGTCGTCTTCCGGGCCTTGGGGTCCGGCTGTTGGGAAGATGAAGCTCTTGGAGCACCCGTCTAAAACAGAAGAAAAAAGTCAGTATATGCATAAACACTCCAAAAAGAGGGTGAAAGGTTCGGAGCTCACCAAGGGTGTCCCCTTTTTGGGGGAGTCGGTTGAAGTTTGTTGCATAATAGAGGCCCGCAACATGGCCGCCGCAGTCTTGGAGGCGGTGATTTTGCTCATGGCGTCAGCTGCAAAAACAAACGGCAAAGTTAATAAAAGATAAACAGCAAATGTATGAAACAACAGAGTATTCGACAGGCCGACTACCTCTTGAGCACCGACTGCTGAGGCCACAGGTGGCCAAAAAGTACTCGTCATAGAGCCACTTGAAGCTCGAGACGCAGTGCAGGGGTACTTGCTCTCGTACCCCTGAAGTAGAGTCGACCCTCGACTCTACTTTAAAGAGTCCTTTGTCAAGGATCTCTTTCTTAGCCTTGGGGGGAACAGGCGGCATGCTACGGCCGCCTGCAAGAAGGGGCGGATTCCTGTTCCACCTATTGAAGCGCTTGTTCAGCTCAATGTCTGAACTCTCAATGATGAGGAAGGTACTCCGCCAGTCCTTCCACTTGTTTGCTTTACCTCTCGTCATGAGGTAGCCCCTGTGGCTTGTTAATTGATACTAGCCGGTACCGCCTGTCTTAGGGGTCCGGCTGAGATAGTTCATATGGGCGAAAGCCTCGAAGCTCGGCTCCACCCCGTGCAGTTCGCACCCGGCCACATAGCCGAGTACGTTGACCCAGGAGTTTGGGGCTAACTGCCATAACCCCAACTCATACCCATCCAAAATCCGCTGAACAGCCGGATGTAATGGGAAGCGCAGCCCTGCCTTGATGGCCGCCTCGTAGCAGCCAAAACAGGCGCTATCATAACTGGAACCAGCCGGCCAGACGACTGTGTCTTCTGGATCCGGCACAAACACTAGAAAGTCGGGGCCCATGGTGTGGTTTGCAATAAAGCTCTCCACTTTCTCTTGCATGGCTGTGATTCGGCCCCGAGGTACCGTGGCAGTAGTAGGGGGTATTTAGCTCTCGGTAAGAGGCGGATGGTTCCGCCCAATTGTCCCCCTTCTCAACTGTGTGAGAAAGTCTCGCCTCTTGCAGGCGGCTGTTTTTCTCTTCTGTACCCAAAGAAGCATGGCCAGAAGAGCTTGACGAGGAATCGTCCTCGGACGAGTCTGAAGAGGACGACTCCTCCCCTCTCCCGGAGGGGCCCGCCTCCTCTCTTTGAAAAGGAGCAGATTTGTTAACTGTTAAATTGGAAGGGGTCACTATGACTCCCCCCACAGAATTGCCGGCATCCAGGCCGCCTTGTCTCACTTCAACATCTGGCGCCTGGTCAGATGTTTCACTAATCGGCACCCTGTGGGAGGAGCCGTCTGAATTTGAGATCCTAGCTGTCTTTTTCGTTCTGGCCATCCTGCTCTGCATAGACACAGATACAGTCGGACTTTGTATAAAGGGCAAAGATGGGTCCGGAAAAGGGCAGGCGGCACTCCTAGTCCTAGATTCAGCCGTCCCCGGTGACCGGCTGATCACTAACCTAGGTCGTGTCGTGTGCTTCCGTGGTGCCATTTCAGAAAATAAAAAGAAAATTAAGAGTAAGAGAACTGAGTTACCTGAACGAGTGACGGTTGATGAAGTTCTGGAAATCCGGTGCAGTCGGCTTGTCAGAACAGGCGGTAGGCAGAAAAGGTCCAAAATGTCAGAGCAAGTTCAGGGGTCCGAATGTTCTCAAAAAGTTCTCAAAGTGTGAAAATGACTCAAGGCAACTCTCCCTTATATAGGCGAAGTGAGAAGGCGAAGGGTCACTTCCAGAATTCAAAATTTGGGCGGGAAAATCTCTCGTCCATTCGCCGACTGACACCTGTAGCAGGCCGTCGCCCGTTACAGTGCGACACCTGTCACAGGTAACACGTGACCAATCACGTGCCACCTGTGAGGGGCAAATGATTAGGGGATTTTGCTCCTACCAATCGGAATGCGCCACGTGGGCCAATCAGGACCTGCCAAGTGTCCCCTAGTTGGAACTGTCAGGGCTTGCCACGTGGCACGCGCTTATTCGTCCACCTTGGACCTGTTATGTCACGACATGTGGCATACTCCATGCCTAATGGAGAAACCGGCCACCCAGGCCCAACTTCCGAGGGAAGCCCAATCGGCCCTAGGTTTACCTAAACCTAGGATGGGCACGTTTCCCAAGGTTATAAATACCTCCCTTAATCCTCATTAAGGGGGGGGGACAGAACAGAAACATTACGGAACACACTAATAACCGGCTGATCTCGCTAACAAAGCAGATTACCTACATTAAACACTCTCACCTAGAGAGACCTTATTACTTTAATTTCCGCATTAATTACTCCTTAATCAGGTACTAACTTGACCGTTGGAGGCGGAGCTCACAGGAGTCTCCGTTATTTTGCAGGTACAGGCGTCCGGTTCCAGTCTCGGAATTGTAACTCTCCCGCAGGACATCAGAAAACCCCGAAACACTAGTCATTACTCATCCACGGCACACCCTCATTTACTTTGCTGAAATGGCTCTCATTTTGAAAAATATTTTTCACCAAAATTCTACAAAAAAAATTAGATAAAACCATTACCAAAACAACACACAAGAATCTAGCAGCCATTAAAGTGCACAAAAACACAATACAATATACAACCCCAAATTCCCTTTCTTTTCCAAGCAATCTTAGACACATTTCATAGAAACAGCTTATAGCTAACCTACCAAAATTATTCAACAACCCATCCATTCATATTCCACTCTTAATTTTAATTAAATGAATTTCCTTATACCTATTTTTTGAACAAAATTATTAAAAAAATTTATCAATTCACTAATTTTTTAACAGCCAATGAGAAAGATTGTCGTTATTAAATTAGAAGGGAAATGACATACTCATACAAAAGTTATACGCTCGTTGTATATAAGGCCTACTCATAATAACCGATGCGGTTCTTATTATATTTGGCAGCCACTACAAGAAAAAGGTGTGCGACAACATCGATTGGTCAGAAGGGCGCTAGAGAAAGAAGAAATCCCGGTATTATCTCTCCTTCCCAATTATTTGAAGATCTAAAACCCAAAAAGCCCACTTACAAGGTAAGTGAAAAAAAATATCGATATTCATATATTCAGCAAAAAGAAGAAAAGAAATTCTTTCTTTAATTGGTACAAATTGAAAAAATCCCAACTTTATTGAATTTTTTGACAGCATTTGCAGATGGGTAATATCTCTGGTGGAGGTCATGGAAGGAGGACTGCAAAGTCAATGGATGAGAGTGAATGTGAAATTACATCACCCAGAATTAGATTAAATGATGGCAGATTTTTGGCTTACAGAGAAATTGGAGTTCCTAAAGAACAAGCTGATTTCAAGATCATCATTGTTCATGGATTTGGCAGTAATAAAGACATGAGTTTTTCTGCACCTCAAGTAATCTTGATTCTTGAACCATTTTTTCAGATTTTTGTTTAATTTTTGGATCTGAATTTTGATGGGTTTTGATCAGTTTTGGCTTTTAAAATGGAGTGTGATTGGATGAATAGTTGAATATAGAAATTGGGTGCATTTTTTTTTAAGTACAACAATTTTCTTGAGTAAATTTGAAGTAGAAAAACCCCTTTTAATTTTGGGTTTTAATCTTGGCGTATGAAAAGAGTAATTTTGGATAAATGGATAGAAAAAAGGACGTGGGTGATTTATTTTTATACAGTACAACAATTTTTTTTGTAAATTGAAAAAACCCATATTTCATGTAATCTGGACTAAATTTTGGTTTGTTTGTGTGTCACTGCCATGGATATAGAGTAGACATAGATTGTGGGTATTGTGATTTGTGATTACGTGTGTTGGATTTGAATTTCAGATGTCAACTTGTTTATACTATTGGATATGAGAGTATGTATGTCATCGAGATAAAGCATATTCCATTGGTCCCAGAAAGAGTTACAATATATTCTAGTACTGTACTAGACAAACTAATAAATGGGGCAGAAATCAGAATAATCTTGAATGTATGATACAATCAATTGTTTGTTTGTGGCAGAACTATCTTGATTTACAATGATTTAGTTTTCAGGGGCTAATTGAAGAATTGAAGATATATATGCTGCTATATGATAGAGCAGGCTACGCGGATAGTGATCCAAACCCTGAAAGGTCACTCAAAAGTGAAGCATTAGATATTGAGCAACTCGCGGATCAGTTAGAATTAGGACCCAAGTTCTATGTGATTGGGGTGTCAATGGGATCATATCCTATTTGGAGTTGCCTCAAGTATATACCACACAGGCAAGTAATACGCTTTGCTAAGAGTTGCATTCTGTGTTAGAAACCATATTTCAATTCTGATCCCTGAATAATTATCCTAGAGGCAAGAAAGGTAAATTACCTGGTTGCATGCTATCTGCAATTCTGCATGATTTGAGGCGTTGTTCTTTTTACCTAGAAGACAGTAAATTTGAGTAGCTGTTAATTGATATTCAGTAGCCCTTATGTGATCATAGTGTTCATGGAAAAGTGAAATAAACAAAGCCTTAGTCTAAAACCAGTTGAAAATGGAATCTTGCTCATTTCGTTTTTTGCCCTTTCATAGGTCTTGACAATCAGGCTGTCTGCCCCGATTGGAACTGATATAACTGGTTTAAAATTTGATTGAAACCTAACCTATATGATTCAGTAACTTCTTGTGATGATATATCTGTTGAAGCTTGGCTGGGAAATTATCGATGTTTATCTCTTTCTTTTTCTTGAGCTTTGTTTGGTGTATAGGCTGTATCAAAACCTTATCTCACTTTAAATTTGGGAAATGATATTTGTGCAGGCTGCAAGGTGTAGCTTTGGTGGCTGCAGTTGTCAATTATTCCTGGCCCTCTCTCCCTAAAAGCCTAATCAAAGACGACTTCAGAAGAAATCTTGTTAAATTAACTCTTTTTGTTTTGAAACATATGCCCAGTTTACTATATTGGTGGATGAACCAGAAGTGTCTCCCTACGGCAAATGTAATGGAGAAGAATCCTGTATTTTTCAGCGAAAGAGATCAGGAAGTTCTGAAAAGAACTCCAGGATTTGAACTGCTCAGTGAGGTACATACTAATTCAGAAGTTAATATTCCAAATACTAATCATGACCCATGTTTTTTTGGACTTTCCATTTTACCTCAAGTAATTGACCAAAAACATGATTCTTTTCTTAAAATAAGAAATAAGTCTAACACCTATGTCTCAATGATGCTCACGAGTCTGAGTAACAGAGATCTTGACACTGATGTTTTATGAGCTCTAATGGTTACTATGGTGCTTTTGTCTCTCTGCTTTCCCCCTAACAGAACAAAATAGAACAGAGAAGTATATTTGATAATCTTCGAGGTGATATATTGGTGGGACTTAGTAAATGGGAGTTCGATCCATTGAAACTAAACAATCCATTTCCCAAAGACGAGTCAGTTCATCTATGGGTAGGCTATGAAGATAAGGTTGTTCCAGTTGAACTTCAAAGACATGTTATGGAAGAATTACCTTGGATCAAGTACCATGAAATTCCTCATGGCGGCCATTTGATTGTGTATGACACTGAAGTATGTGAATCCATCTTAAGGGCACTCTTGCTCAACGAAGAACCTGCAAAATATATACCGTTACCTGGTACTCCAAAGCTGATAGCAGCATCATAATTTTTAATTTTTTTACATTTTTTATCTGTTGCACCTATTCTCAATACTTGAATGGTGATATTTGTGAAGAAAAAAAAAAATTAAATTCTGATTTGTAAAAAGAACGTGTTTGATGTGTAATAGCTCTTAATCTGAACTCTGAAGCATGAGTTATAACAGGAAATGAAATTGGTTTCATAGCTTTCTAGTTAACTCCGAAATTTTGACTAAAGTCAAAGTCATTGAACATGTTTGCCAAGGACTAAAGGTATTATTTTGTACTCGGTAATGAGCTATTAAAATGGGTAGTTTTTTGCAACTTTTTTTGATAGGTAGCTCTCCACAAAGTAACACTTATGTAATTAAAAAAACCTGTTTATGTTATACGAACAATACGATATGTCGTTCCTTCTAGGTTTTCTCCTTGAGAGGGTTTTTCTTGGTTTCCTCTAGGGTCTCTCCCTTGGAAGGTTTTCCTAGCCTCCATTGCTAGGTTTTTTTTTTGTTTCTTTGAAGGTTTTCCTTTTCTCTTCTCCCTATTCTCTACCATCTCTTTTCTTCTTGGTCTCAATTGTGAATCTTTGTACGGGCTTCCACGGGTGTGTTTTACCGGTGGCAAGCCCCAAAACCTTTTAATTGCTTTCAATAAATAGATCTCATCCTTGAGATAATGATTTTTCTCTTAGGTTTATTTTCTCTTTCTGTTTGTATGACGAGTATTGAAAATATAGGGTTTCATAATCTCCATAAGAATCAAGAGGATCTTATGAGTATTTTCACTCAAATGACTACGCATAAGTGGATTTCAAGTCGAATTAGTGCTAACTAACATATTGTATTGCTTCATATGAAGGTTTTTAGCAACGTGATTGTTGATCAAATCTGCGAAGTATATAGTTTTAACGTGTTATATACTTGTGTTTGGAATTCTTGATTTCTTAGGAATTATATGTAAGTGTCATTTGAATATATTTTATCAATGAAATTCCTTTTCTTCCCTGTAAAAAAAATAATAAAAAAATAAAAAAATAACCGATACGATATGCCACATAAGTATCCGATATTGATGTACTCGTACTAGTTTCTCTAAATAAGATATGAGTTGGAAAAGTATTCCATAACTGTTTCCATTGCTTCACAATGTTTATAAACAAAAGCACATTAGAGTGAACAAGGTATATTATCTAAAATCATATATATATAATAATTACATGTTAGTAATATAAGGCCCTGTTCTTTAGAGCTGTTTTTGCTCTGCTTTGCTGAGCCTTACTCTGCTCTGCTCTCCTGACTCAATCTGCTCTGCTCTGTTGACATCTGTTCTACTGTGCTGAAATCTACTCTGCTCTGCTTTTCCAGAAGCTCAAAAGAATAAGGCCTAAATCTTTTTTACCTAATCTTATACACCCTCGTAGTTGTAGATTAGCTTTTCGTATGCTAAGAATGTCCCTTAGTGAATATAGTTGTAAAGAACACGAATATGTCCAAGGGCTACGTTTTAGATATCCATCTTGAAGTGTAGTGCATTGATGTTGAACATCATTGCCGGAGATATATAGATATCGCACTTACATCATCACAATAGACCATATTGAATTGTATCGAGAGAGTTCACAGGTGATGGATTCTAAGATCACACTACTTGGGACGCATCAGAGAAAAATCGAGTGCAGTGGAATATGGGTTGGATGTCTTGGAACTGGCTATGAGAAAGAGAACCAACAAACTACAAGTTCAAATGGATAACCAAGTAGCTATAATTCCTCTTCATAACATAGAAGACTATGGTGGAGAGTGGAGACATCATTTATCATTGGAAACAAATGTTGAATTATACGAGGTGAGCGGTCAAAGTTTGTAAAGAAAAGAAGATGAGAATCGAACCCTTTTCATAGGGGTGGAAGGAAGGCCTCTAACCAACTAAATCAACCTTGATTGTCGAAAGTAAAAGGAAATGGAACCTATAAAATTATACTTCGTATAAAATAAGAAATTAAAGATTATACGTAGTACTTTCCATTTGTTTTCACCATTAAAACAACTAACCATTTACAAAAAATATACAAAGTTAACTAATTAAACATTGTAAAATTTTAGTTGCTTATTTTAAAATCAGTTGGAAGCTAAACGGTGGGATTCAGTTAAGCCTAACATCTCGTCTTTTCTATATACATAAGTAGGCCAGTGGTGGGATGGTGGCGGGTTAGTTGGCCGGTAGTTGGGGAGTATGGGGACGCAAGAGGGCAGGAAGAAGTTAAAAATCAAGGCACATGCTACATATATACGGGGTCGATGACTCAATGCGAGAAAAACCAAGACAACACTCGAAAGCCGACTAAAAATAGCAAAAATAATTTCATGAAATGCCACTGAGTACTTACAAAATTCACCAAATGCCATCGAGGTTTAGTACAATATCACCAAATGTCATTTCCGTTAGTTAACTGATAGTGTTCATTAATTGACCGTTAGTTGACCCCACCACTTACCACATGTCACCTTTTGATTGGCCCGTTTAAAAAAAAAACCAAAAATATTTACAAAAATTAAAAAAAAATTTAATAAGAACAAAAAAAAAACCCCAAACCCCAGCCACCACCCCAGCAGCCACCACCCCAGCTATACCGCCGTTCCTCCACCACCCCGAAAACCCACACCCATTTTTCTCCCTCTCCGATTTCAGGCCACCCTACCCAAAACCCATCCCCTTCCCGTCGGTTTCCGATTCCGGCCACCCACCCAAAACCCCCTTCCCCATTCCTTTTCGATTTTGCAGATCTTATCGTTTGGAGAAAGAACGAAGGCTAGGCTACGCTGGATTAATTCGCGACATCGTAGCCATGGATACTGAGGTTTGGGACATCGTTTGCAGATCTTTTCGATTAGAGAGGTTTGGGATGATAATCTGGAAGACGAGTTTGGTTTAATTCGCGACATTGTAGCTATGGATATTGAGTTTCCCGAAATCGAAAAGGGATGGGGAAGGGGGTTTTGGGTTGGGTGGTCGGAATCGAAAACCGACTGGAAGGGGATGGGTTTTGGGTAAGGTGGCTGGAAATCGGAGAGGGAGTGGAAGGGGGGTGGGGTTTCGGGGTGGTGGATGAAGGGGGTGGGGTTTCGCGGGTTAGGGCCGGGGGTCGCGACGAGTAAGGGGAGGGATCGCCGGCGGCCGGCGCGCCTTCCGGTGCTAGCCTCGGCGGCAGGGGGTGGTGGTGGCTAGGGTTTTGGGGTGGGCAGGGGGCTCGACGGCAGGGAGGAGGTGGTGGCTGGCCACCTCTGAGTTCCTTTTTTTTTTGTTATTTTTTATTATTTTTTAATAATTTTGGTTTTTTTTTTTAAATTTTTGTTTAATTTTTTTTAGAAACGGACCAATCAGAAGGTGACACGTGGCAAGTGGTGGGGTCAACTAATGGGCACTAACGGTCAACTAACGGAAATGGCATATGGTGATATTGTACTAAACCTCAGTGGCATTTGGTGAATTTTGAAAACGCGATGACATCTGGTGAATTTTTTAAGTACTCAGTGTCATTTCATGAAATTGCCGTTTAGTTTTTTTAAGAGCCCCTCTTCACAAAATTTCTAAAGGTCCTTTCTGATAAATTTTTTTTAATTATGTATATTTATATTAAATAATTTTTTTTTTTTTTAAAAGAATAGAGGGTGTACAGAACTTAAATGAAATGAATTTTGCTCGTTGATATTATACTTGTATAGAATCTAATGGTTAACATTACTTCGTATAGGCGTGTGATTAATCTTCCTCCTACGTTTTTTTTTTAGCTTTTCACTGTTATTATCCCCCTCTTTCTCTCTCCTCCATTGAAGCGCGTACTTCGAATTCTCCATTGAAGCGCGTAATCTTCTGAATACTCCATTGAAGCAGCTCGTGATCTTTCTTTCCTCCATTGAAGCAGCTTCTGAGGTAAGATGTTTTCTTTTTCTTTTCCTAAATCACCGAATATCAATTTCACAATCTTGGGTTTTGTCGTTGATTGAACTTTCCGTATATTCAATTTAGGGTTCTTATAAGGTGAATTGTTTATTGAACTTTTGGTTATAATTACTGAGTTATGAAAGATTATAACGATCGATATTGTTGGTAGAATTTTGCTATGTGCAATTTAAGTTGATAATCTTATGCAAGAAGAATTTTATGTGAATTTTGGAGTATAATTTGATAATTGAGTCAAATTGGGTTGCTAATGTGTTGTAAAATGCAAATGTACCTTGATTGTTAGCTGTTTCGCGGGAGGACTCATTGCATTGCATTGTGTATGACCTAATGAGGGAATAGGTTTTGTGATTGGGCTCTAGAGTAGTTTTATCAAGTGCTTGTTGGATCTTTTTTTGAATGGCTACCAGGCCACCTTCAGATCATGATGCATCGTTGTTGCCTAAAGACGGCGAGGGATTTGATTTTGCATAAGCAATTTTTAAATTCATGTCTATAGTACTACAAAGTCTTATGCAAGATACATCTTGTATCATATGATTCATGAACAAAATGAATTAATAAAAGACTCTATAAGATAGGCAAACCTAATTCGAACTCACTAATACATCTGTGATGTTGGAGATTTTCAAGCACAGCTATGCTCAACTTTTGCGTAATTGCTTATTATTAATACTAGTATACTTAGTCTATGCACGTATATGTGCCTACACCTGCAGGAGTAGTAAAGCATGACTGATATGAGTGATAAGGCTTTCTATTGTTGTTTCTCATGTTAGTAAATCTTTCGGCAACATTTTGGCAGCTTACAGGCAATAGTGTCGCTTATACTGGCAACTTGAACTGTACATGGGTGCTGATGGTGTAATGTCTGTTTCTGTTAGCCGGGGTGGTGTCATGGCTTCACCAGATGTACCCTCTTTACACCAATGTTTATCTCTGGAACACATTTCTTTTGGCACTCGGAAGTACACACGTTCAGGAGAATTGAGGAGGGCACTTGGGGTTTCTCTTGGAAGTACATCTGAAGATCTTCCCGTTAGAGCTTCCAATTTTAGACCTTCCCCACCCGTGGCCACTGAAGAGTTAAAGCAAATCCGAGAGAGTGTTTTAAATGCTTCTATAAAGGCCAGGTTAGTCTAGTGTAGTTTTGAGTTTTGCTGAATATGTTTGAAGCTAGCCAGTTACTAGCATATAATCAATACTAAGAAATCAACAAAAGCCTAATTGTCTTTGATATCCCTATTAGTGTG